ATGATGCCAGCTTTGGCAATGGACACGGTCTGTTGCTCCATGACTTCGTGTAGGATGCTGCGGGTGGCATCGGTCATCTTATCAAACTCGTCGATACAGCAAATGCCACCATCGCAGAGAACCAAGGCACCGCTCTCAAGAACAATCTGCTTGGTTTCGGGGTCCTTGGTCACGTAGGCTGTGAGACCGACAGCCGAGCTACCCTTGCCAGAGGTGTACATGCCGCGTGGGGCAAGCTTGACAGCGTACTGCAAGAGCTGAGATTTGGATGTACCAGGGTCACCACACAAGAGGACATTGATCTCGCCACGAAAGCGCCCATGGGCACTCTCCTTGAACGTTTTGTGGGTACCGCCAAACAGCATGGCCAGGACACCACGCTTGACATCATCAAAGCCGTAGATGGACGGCGCGACCGATCGAACGAGGCGGTCGTAAATATCCGGTTGCTGACCAAGCTCGCGAAAGCGATCCTCCCGCTCACGCAGCACAGCGGGATCCCTGCCACGAGCAGATTGGGGACGAGAAAGATGCACAAAGGGGCGGGAGAAAGCGACAAGGGTGAGTAAAAAAGGGGGGTCAAAAAGTCCCCGCCCATGAAAGCACCTTTGCACGAACGCAGCGTCCTCTGTTGGGCAAGCGAAGTTATCAAGACACATACACATTCTCTTCATCCTCATCGCGTTCATCGTGACCGATGCGGTTCCGAGCATGGCGTTGAAAGTGAATCACATCCAAATGCGTCTTGAAGACAGACTTGACGGTGCGCTGACGTGGGTTGATGCGCAGCGGCGAGGCACGGTAAATGGCCGTAATTTCGACCAAATCACCAGGTTGGACCTAACATCGGGGTGTGTGATGAGGGAGGACGCGAGCTATGACTATGCCCTGCCTGGCTGAGGTTCGGGAGCAAAGTCGGGCAGGGAACTCACGGCGTCGACCAAGGCATCAAAGGTGTAAGCAAGGACAGTCTGTGGAGTCTGGCCATCCGGCACTTTATCTGGCGTTTCCTGAAGCTTGACCATCTGCTCAGGGTGGATGGCGGGCGTGAGGTGGCCGTGCTCCAAATTCATGCGAGCGCAGATAACCACTCGGGCAAAACTTANAAAAAAAAAAAAAAAAAAAAAAAAAAAAAACTGGGACAATGAGCGCACCTGCTTGTCGGAGAAGGTGCAGCGGTTGTGAATCAGTTCGAAAGAGCGCTTGGTTTGGCATCGACCGCAGATTTCGGGTTCTGTATGGTGGAAGGATTTACACGCATGAGAAAGCGTGCATCAATGGTGGCGGGCAAATGACTGGGACGGGCCCTTGAGTCGGATGGCGGGGCAACGGACCAAGAATGCGGCCACGGAGGATGCCGACTGGAACTTCGTGACGGCAAGAAGAGCAGCGGAAAAAGCCGATGGAGGGTTCAGGAATAACGGGGGAGACACGGATGACCATGCCGCGGATGGCCACAAGCTGATCAACGTCGTCCGGGTTTAGATCTCGCATGGTTTTTGATTCGCCGAGGTTGTGCGGGCGCGTTTGAGGTTGCGCCGTAGGCTCTTCATCTGTGAGTTGACGGTACACGGCCTCGAGAGCCTTATCCATGATGGGGATAATTTCCTGAGGGTAGCGCACAAGTTGCTTGTACAAGTCGTTATCAAACTGGCGCAGGTCCTCTGTGTCAACGTTGACGTGCCACTCTTCTGTATCGGCCATTTGCTTGGTCAGGCGCTGGTATTTGGGCTCACGACCCGAGTCCAAATCGTCGTTAAACTCGAGCAGGAAGCGTTTGCTGCGTTGCTCAGCCTCGTGGGTGTTGACATCTGTGCCCCAGATCCTATGATATCGTTTTGCAGGGGATTGCAGGTGAGAATGATCAAGGGGCGCGGCAAAAAGGGGGAGGCAAGGTGACAAGGCCAAGGGTTGTGGCGCAGGTGCGTACACAGTGCGGGCCTCCTGTGCTTCCGAGGTACTATCGCCTCGCTGCTGCAGAAATTGTGACGAGCATGAAAGGGTCACGTGAGCGGAAGCCCGGATCCAGACGATGAGTGAAAAAAAAAAAAAATGGCGTGTCGACGACTCACCGCGCTACTGTTTGTGACGGTAAAAGCACGTTCGGAAGCATCGCCAAGTTCACTGTACATGGGTGACCAAATCGAGGGTGAGGCTGCAGATGATGGTGCCTCGGGGCGACTCTATTCTTAGTGGGGGGGGGGACAAACCGGCGACGCGGAGTGCCCTGGGAGGAGATGGGTTGACCAATGGCGCTCGAGGGCGTGGCAGCATAGGGGAGTGGAGAGGACGAAGCATTGCCACCGCCTTGTGATGCTCGACCTAAAACGGGGGTGCGGCAAGAACAGGGCATCAGATCTGTTTTCCCAGAAAAGTCGTGTGCCCGCAGGCGCCGACACGGGGAGCGAGCAAATCAAGTCTTTGCTCGTGCATTTGACCAACGTGATGAAGATGAAGGGGCACGGCCGATGGGCGCACGACCCAGAGGTGACGGCGCATACTACGCCCCCCCGTGAAAGCAAGTCGACAGGCGTGAGGAGACGGATCAAAAAGGGGTGCAAAAAGCAAATCGAGCAGGGCCTCGGAGGAGACGACGCAGTTAAGCAAGGCGCACGTCAGAGGGCAAGGAGTCGGATGCCTGGCCGTAAGGCAAAGGAGATGAACTGGGGTCGGCCATGTTCACTGTCTGCATCGGCGGCACACGTGTCCGTGAGCGAGTGAGCAGCAGCGATACTGGATATAGCCAAAAGAAGTGGTTCTGATGAGCTTACCTTTGGCGTAACACCGCAAAGCAAGACCCTGGCATTCAAGTCCAAGCTTCACGCTGTTTCAACACCCGTAGTTGTCAAGTACTGGCACCGCGAGGCTGATGCGCTGCCGTTTTCAATCTCTCAGATCCGAGCTCTCTCTCTCTCTCTCTCTCTCTCTCTCTCTCTCTCTCTCTCTCTCTCGTTTTTTTGTCTTTTTTTGTTGTTTTTGGCGCTGGCGCGTTGACCGTTACGCGCAAAAACGAAAAAATAATAAGAATAAGCCCATTTACACAGCCAGAAGCATACAAAATCTCGCAAACCTGCACTCAAAACTCGCACTCGGAATGAAATAAAAGTATTTTACTTGCACCCATACGACTTTGCACAGAAGCCGCGAGAAAACAAAAGTATTTCGAATATAGCTTTCAGGCCAAAATAATACTTCACCATGGGATACTGTGGTATTTTACTTTTTAGCTCAGGGCCGGTGAAAACATGGGGGTGTCCGTCAACACGCCGGCGGTCGTGATCGGCGGTCTCGTCTTTCTCCTTCTGGCTGGTACCCTTCAGAGTACGTCCATGGCCCTGTGTGGGGTGGCTGACAGTGGCAGGGGGTGGTAGTTTTGTGAGGGCAGGTGCCTTGGGTCGTTTGGGGAGAGGTCGATGCAGGTGGTTGCGTCTGGCACACCAGGCGCGAGAGAGGGGGCTTTAAACACCGATTCATGGCGCCTGGCGCCTCGAGGCGTGAGTGCTGATCTCATCCCTTGTCTTGGTCATAGATGTCGATTTTGCCCCGCCAGCATGGGGAGCGACGGTGACGGCCAAGGGCGTAGAGATTCGCAAAACGTTTCTGGAAAAGGTCCACGAACAGTACCTGGTGGAGAGCTATGTCGCCGCAACGCTCCAGATGCTGGGTGTTCTGGGTCTGATTACCCTGGCCAAGGTCCGAAGCGCCCCTGGCTCCCTTTGCCTGCGTCTTGACTCGCTCGCTGCCCGTGGGGCTACTTTTTGCAAGCATGGATTGATTCACTCGCTTCCATCGCAGGGTTCAACACCGGTTGGGGTGGCCATTGGTGGTGGCACGCTTCTCGCCTCTGTGGGCGGGCTTGCGCTAATGTTTGCACTCAAAGAACCGTACGTTGCTCTGTTGTGCCCTCAATTCACCCGCCCCACTTTGCGTCCGATCTCACCTTGTGGGTTCACTCAACGCTTCAGGCATTACTGGACCAGTGCATAGACTCGGAACGAACCCATGACTCTGCTGCTGAGCAGCAACCCGCGTATTCTTTGCAATTGAGGGTCACGGAAACGTCAATGACAAACGATGGAAAAGAAAAGAAGCTGTGCGCTCGGGTCGGAACGGAGTTTCATCTTATTTCTCAATTATTTTGCCAGACACGAGCGGCGTGGAGCTTTGCAGCCCAAGCTGACATGAGCACAGGCCACTTGACCAGGCAGACCCGGGTCACATGAGGTCCACTTCTTCTTCCTCTTCTTCTTCTTCTTCTTCGAAAAGGGAGTCGTCTTCGTCGGCGTCCCAGTCTTCAGTGTCTCCAGCCAGTCTTGCCATCTCTTCGGCCGTCATTTCCTGCATTAAGCGAGTGGCCAAGGAACTGCTGTGAGGGGCAGGGCTAAAAACAGGGTATGTCGGAAGCTTGTCTTTCCATCACGCTCAAGAATCACCTGGATGAGATCCTGGTCATCCATTTGGCGGCGCCGTTGTCGTTCCTGCTCGTGCTGTGATGGGCTTGGAGGCACGGCGTCAGATTCCGTTTCTGCAGTTTTGGGACTGGCGGGTGTTGGTGGCGATGGTGGACTGCTGCTTCGCGATGCAGATCCTCGCCTAGGACCAAGTGTTGCCGAGTCAGAGCCAGGCAGTGGCCCAGACATTGGTGGGTACTCAGGGGGTTGGGATAAGAGTCTTACTTTGTGCTGCGGGGAACAATGGTCAATCGTTTTTGCAAGGGCTGCATGGCTCCCGTCTCTGACTGTGTTCAAGGATCGAAAGGTGTTATAGCATGAGCCTGGGCGAAGGGTTCGGGCTGGTGCTCTTGTGCCCCGATGATGCAACAAACCTGGGCCAATAACTTGGAAATTTGGTTTGATTGCAAGGGTCCGGGCTGCACTGCATACACATGCTCCTACCATTGATGGCGTTTTTGGAGAATTGAGGCAAGGAAAAACATGGGGACGAGCAGTTGCACAGGAGAACACAAATGCAAAGACATGCTCTTGCCCCACAGGCGTTGCAGGGGTTGAGCAAACCTCGTCATTTTGGCGTCGTAGCACGACATAGTAATCGCCGTTGCCAGAGGTGCTCTTGACCTCTACCGTACCAGGCGCAATCCAACACGCGATGAGGATGGTGATGGTGGTTGAACAGCAAAGGCGCGCAGGGCATGCATGGGTCGTGGCCGCCAGAGAGCAGAGACATACCCAGACCCTTGAGTCTGTACTTGGCCAGATCAAGGGTGGCATGAACGGTTGTGCGATAGCCTGCCTCCAGGGCGGCTTGAGCGGCCGCGCGCACTGTTCGGTCGGCCGGGCCCTGGTGTAGCTGCAACAAGCACTGGCGTCGACTGTCGACCAAAATGTGTGAGTCAATTTTTAGGTTTTGTGTGAGAACGGGCGGAGAAGAAAAGAGAGAAGGGGTGCATGCGTTTAGCCAAGGAGGAGGGGGGATATGACTTACGACAAACACGCCTTTTGTAGACTACTGGTTGAGGTGACGGCGGTGGCGGCGACCTAAAAAAAGAAATAAGGGCAATCAAGTTGGAATGGAGCGGCGTATTATGCGGGCGAACAACCACGTCAGGGGAGGAACGACAGGATTGGCTAGAGTGTCAGACCTTGGACTTGCTGTGCGCAAAAGTGACGAGGCGCTCCACGCTCTAGGTGCAACGAACGAATGAATGAGAGGGCAAGGGCGATGGGCAACACGGCTCAATGGGACACGCAGGGGCCGGCTTGGCGCTTGGAGCTTTCGGGCAGGTCAACCGACCTTCATGTTGCTAGGCATGACTTGGACGACTTTACGGCCGTTGGCCGCGAAAAGAAGGCGGGGTTTGCCCGACCATTCCTGGAGCTTGAATCGTTTGGTCACGGTCTTGCCACTGGGCAGAGTAGCACTGGGCGGCGGCGGCGGGGCGAAAGTGTTACGTGAGAGCGGGACCAGCATCAGGTGGGCTCGGCAGCAAGAACAAGATTTGCACCTGCAGTTGATGGTAGCGGCCGAGACGCCCAGCTTGGCGAGGCGTGGGGCGGCCAGTGATAGCAGTTCTGGCGGGGTACCTGGAACATGTCGGCGCACACGGCGGTTGAGATGACGGGTGTGATCACTGGCGATTGGTTGACGCATTGGCTTGCGACACTTGTTTGGCATACCGTATTGTCCTTCGCCGCAGGCCACCAGCCAAGGATCACCAGAGAGAAAGACCTAAAAAAAAAAAAAATGCCGGCGGCCCGCAAGATTGAGAATGGCTCGCAGTCGAGACCTCGGGTTGCTTGAGTGTCTGCCTTGAAGCTTGGCTCGTGCGTTGTGGCGTCAACGGGCCAAAAGCCACGCTTGGCAGCAAGAAGAAGAAAAGGCTTTTCACGCATGCGAGCCGGCGCACAGCACCGACTTGATCGAGGAGCGCCGTGTCGGAAGTGTCCACGAGCACGATGGGAGCTGGCTGCAAGACCATGTACGCCAAAGCCAGCACCGCCAAGGCCCCCAGGGTCGCCGCCGCCCCCCGCGCATACATGGGCACAGCCCTAGCCGCAGCCCGCCGCGCCTCGTGCTTACGCTGCCGCTCCTCCACCTTGGTCCGATGCCGTCCCGCCCCCGTCATCATCACTGCCCCTGCCTCCCGCCGCCCCATCTCACTCTCGTCTCTCCGTGCGTGCGTGTGTGTGAATGTGTGTGAAAAAATGAATGAGAGGTGATGTGTCTCTCTCTCTCTGTTTCTCTCTCTCTGTCTGTGTGTCTGTGTGTCTTTGTGTCTCTCTGTTTAATTCTTTCTCTTGAATTCTCTGTGTCTCTCCCTCTGGCTCTCCCTCTGGCTCTCTGTCTTTCTGAGTGAGAGTCTCTTGTATCTGTGTCTCGTGTGTGTGTGTGTGTGTGTCTCGTGTGTGTGTGTCACCATCTGTTTCTCTGTTCGGCTGCCTGTATATCAGAAATACACAGAGAGAGAGAGAGAGAGAGGGAGGGAGGGAGAGAGCGAGATAGAGAAAGCGAG